CTTGGCCCTGCCCACCTCTCTAATGTTTCCAGCCCTGATCTTGCCTTCGCCGACATTGGCAAATGTTGCACGTGAACTGCCCGGTCACATGTGGTTATGTTTAACTCTACAGAACTTTGAACCAACCTCAAGCTGCGCCAGTGGGGAGATCAAAGTCAATAAATTGTATGTATTTTATAAACGGTGAACTTCTGTGAAGAAACCAAACTCATTTAGGCTGAAGCCAAGGGGAGTGCTATGTTTTGACTGATGCATAAGACAAAGAAAGAAGGTTGTTTCCCCTGCGTGTTATTTGGTTTTTTTTAAAAGGCTGTTTATCAAAGTCCATACTTTAAAATAAACATAGAGAACTCTCGTGTTCTTTTTGTAAACACACTGGAGTCCTTTGAAGCCATGGATAATGAGTATGATAGCAGATGACTGTTTATCCTCTCTTGGGCTCCGTGTTTAGTTAGCTGGGTCTTGAAAACCTTAAATCTCTTTCACCCTTGAGAGAGATTTTCAGAATTGACACTGTTAGAGCAGGGGGAGAGGAAAAGACCTCAGGAATCAGCAGCTATATCCTCACTTCTCTGCAAGCAAGGTCCTCTCCCAGGGGGCCACACAGTCTGGGTGACAAACTCTTCTTTCCCTGCATTTGTCCCCAAGCCTAAACCCACTGGAGCCCTCTTATCTGGCCGCCTGGTTCCCTACACGCCTCTCCTCCCAGTAGTGTGCTGGTATATGTTGAAACATAGGTTCTGGGACTGACAGCAGCCCTGGTTTGTGGCACTTGCCAGTTTTTCTGGTGTGACTAGTCCCATTGTGGCCCATGACAAGCTACCCACGTCACACATGGGACAGTGAGCTGGGGAGAAATGGGCACAGTGCTCTAGGTGGCCACACTGACTCCCAGAACCACAGCTTCACCTCTGCCCTCTTCTGCCCACCTTTCTGTCCAGGGCCTGGGAGTCAACAGACAGCTTCATTTCAGTAAACATTTCTGAATGGCTGTTCTCCCCACTATGGGGAAAGTTGCTTTTCTTGGTTAATGTTTCTTTCCTGTACTCTAGAGATACTGGTTTCCATTTTCTTTGCTCCATTAGCTTGTAGCAATCAGCTGGGCTATTCTGGTCACTTCCTTTGTACAGTTCCTTGAATTGTTTCAATGCCATTGTATGATTCATGGAGCCCAGCTTCCTTTCCCCTGTTAGGCAGCTGGGAAAATCAGGCTGCCTTCATATTTTTCTTTGTAAACTGCTGTATCCTGAAGCCATCCATGCCTCGTTGGGCAGAAGGTGTGCACTGTGGACCCAGCACCCAGCTCTCCCAGGCAACAGAGATGTTTCTTGATGGATAGAAAATCATCCTAGGAGAAGGCTAGGGTGCCTGAGGGGAGGAGGTTTTCCTACTCAGTTTCAAGATTTCAGTTGGGTGAGTGTGGGACCCACATCCTGTCATAAAGCTGGAGTCAGGATACTTATTCAAGATGATGAGAGCTTTGTTCAAACACATAAACACAGATTTTTACCTTGTGATTTAAAAGATGGACACTTAGGTAATGCCTTGCGAAGAGGTTGGAGACTCAGCAGGTGATGCATGTAGTTGGCAGGCATTCACAGGGCCAAGGGGTCTAGACCAGGTGCAGCCAGGAAGAGCCAGGCTGCAATTCTGGGCTGGCTGGCCTTGCCTCGCAGAGCCTGACTCCTCAGCAGCTCCCCAGGACTGCGATATGGCCCAAAGAACTCCTCTGAGGAAATGGTCTTAGAAACCAAAGCGCCTTGGCTTTATTATGACTATTTGGATCAAGGACTCTCAGTTCTTCTGCAGCTAGAAGAACTGAGGCAAAAGGTGGAGGGGGGCAGAAGATCGAGGGCTTCCCCCAACCCTGCCTCCCTGTTCCTTAAGCACCTGATATTTGTTCTGCGAGGAAAGAAAGGGGTGATCCTGAGGAAGGTCTTATACCCAACTAGAAGTAGAAGGAGAAAATAGGGCTCCACAAACAATTCAAACGATGGCTTCATCTTGCCACTGCCCAATCAGCCACTCTGTTATTCCTAACACTGGCAATAACAGCAGGAAGACATATCAGTTATTGCATATTAACTATGCCAACCATTGTGCAAACCACTCTGCACTTACTCTCTCATTTAACTACTACATGAACCTGGTAAGTTACCTGTTTTATTTTTCTTCCTATTTTATAGCCAGGAGACTGAGGCTTAAAGGGCAGGTATGAATTTGCCCAAGGTCACAACTGAGACTAAGTTACTATAGTATGTTCCTAGTACCTAGAGCAGTGGTTCTCAACCTTCCTAATGCTGCGGCCCTTTAATACAGTTCCTCATGTTGTGGTGACCCCCAACCATAAAATTATTTTCATTGCTACTTCATAACTGTAATTTTGCTACTGATATGAATCATAATGTAAATATCTGATATGCAGGATGTATTTTCATTGTTACAAATTGAACATAATTAAAGCATAGTGATTAATCACAAAAACAATATGTAATTATATATATGTGTTTTCCGATGGTCTTAGGTGACCCCTGTGAAAGGGTCGTTCGACCCCCAATGGGGTCGAGACACACAGGTTGAGAACTGCTGACCTAGACTATAACCTAGTGATGGCAAACCTATGACACGCGTGTCAGAGGTGACACGCGAACTCATTTTTTTGGTTGATTTTTCTTTGTTAAATGGCATTTAAATATATAAAATAAATATCAAAAATATAAATCTTTTTTATACTATGGTTGCAAATATCAAAAAATTTCTATATGTGACCCGGCACCAGAGTTAAGTTAGGGTTTTTCAAAATGCTGACACGCCGAGCTCAAAAGGTTCGCCATCACTGCCCTAGTACTAGTACTAAACCATAACCCAGAGCATCCTAGTAACTAGACCATATCCTGGAACATACTGGTAACTAGACCATAACCTAGAGCATAGATGGTATCCCAGAACCTCTCCCACTCCTTCCCCAAAGACACAGTAGCTTGGAGGTTTCCTATGAGAAACAACAAGGCGCACTCCATGTGCTCTGGGTTGTGTCCTTATCTGTCCCCACCTCTCCCATGTTTTGCCTTCACTCTGGGTCTTGATTTCCATCTGCTGGTTCACACCTACATTCCTCTGACCCACCTAATCCTTTTGAGCAGATGACTCAGGTTGGCCTGGCTTTTTTTCTGTTCACTTTGGCCTTGGACTCTGAGCTCAGTGTCAGGCCCTGAAGTCCACAGGCAAGGCCTGCTCTGCTCCTTGACCTGGCTTATTGCACTCCAGGACACTGCTGGGGAGGGAGGGAGCCTGGACAGAGAGGCCACCCTCTTTGCTGCTTGCTTCTCCAGTGGAGATGGACCAGCCTCACATTCTCCTCCTATTCTTTGGTGCCTGAGTTTCTCACTGAAGTGTGACTTCTCCTCCTCATGGTGGCAGCACAAATCCAGCCAGGGCAAATCTGCTCCATTATTGTCCAAAGCTTAACTATGGTTGGCAATTCCCAACATAGAAGACCAAACAGGCACTGAGTCTTGGCTCTGTATGTGGTCTAGTTAACCACTGGGGATTTTGGGAAAATTACTTACCTTTCTGGGCTTCCATTTCCTTTTCTGCACAATGAGGGTAATAATAGAATTTACCTCATGGAGCTGTTTGGAGGATTAAATGAATTAACATATGCAAAGAACTTAGAACAATGCTTGGCACAGGGTAATTCTTATCTAAGTGTCGGCTATTCATGTTTTTCTCCATAGGTTTCTTCACTTCTGGGGTCCTAATTCATGGTCACTAAGCAATGATAGCCAGGTCACAGAAGCAAAATAAATGACCTCTGTCCTCTCAGTTCCAACCACATGAGTAACCAATCATGTTCACAGTGTGGCACTTGGCTCAGTCAGCCCCTGCTGACCCTTAATTCCTGTTGGTCCAGAGTTGCCAGACAGTATCCAGTGGCCTGAACTAGTTAATGCACCTCCAAAGGTAGGAAGGAATTGTTGGCAAAGTGGTAGTATGGCATTGTAAATTCCTAAAATTCCCCATGTGGCTTTGACAAATCACACAATCCTTCTGCCCACATATCTAGGTGGTCTAAGGAGTGCTTAGAACTTCATATGGGATGTATGTTAAAACTTAGGAAAAATAGTCCCTGCCTACAACAGTAGATCATAAAATAATAGTAAGTATTGAAGCAAGTAGGTAGTGACATAGATGGGTGGGTAAGCAGTGTGGAATGGGTAACTGCCTAACTAACTTGATATGCCAAATTAAGTGGGGTCTGTGACTTGTTTGAGCCCATCATTTTGTTTGCACGATTTCTTGCCTTTGCTGGACTGGCCCAGGATCTGCATGTGGCAGAGGATTCCCGGGACACTGCCCCTGCCCCTGCCCCTGCGGAATCTGCAGAGTGGCTCAGGGAAGACCTAGGTGGGGCAGGGGACAGGCTGCTTGCAATCCCAGCATGTGCAGCCACTCTTAAGCCTACTTAAGCCTACCACTCAGATGCTGTTGGTGAGCTGTCCAGAGAGCCAAGTAAACAAATAGCCCACCTACCAGGAGTACAAAAGTCCCTGTCCCTCTGCAGTGGAGGGGAAGTGTGACACTCTTTCATAACCTTCAGGACCTTCTCTCAGCCTGGGAAAAATGGAGAACTTTATTATAACATAATTGCCAGCTAACGTGTACAAGCATACCTAGATAGTATGTAGCATAAGCTGACCTTGAAGTTTCTGAGGGCCATCTGTCTTGTCTGCCACATAGTCTCTTAGACAATTGTCCCTCTTACTACAGGGTTGTGTCTGGGTGCTCCTTCCCTGGAAGCTGAGTGTGGCTCCTCACTGCCGCCTGGGTGTGTGTGCACGTGAGCATGTGTGACTGAGCCTCCACTGGTGTTGCCAGGGAGCGGAGGCCGGGGCTGGGGTTTGAGGTGCTATGTTCTCAAGCTCACATTTGTGCCTCACTTGCTTGCTTTTGCCAACAGGTGAAAGTTACTACATGTCTATGTTTCTGTGCAGATCCATGAGAAAAGTTATGCCACAGCACTTTGAGGACAATAAGCACTATTGAGAGGTCGACCAATCGAAAGCACAGTATTTGCAAGTCGTGGGGGTGGGTGGAGCTGTCACATCCAGACCCAGCTACCAAGAATACAGATCTGAAAAACCAGTTACCTAACAACAGAGACTTTTCCCTGAAAAACTGCCATGAATCTGTGCTCCCTGGGAGTGTGCTCACCTTCCCTGACAGCAGAAAGGTCAGGACCCCCTCACTCTCAGCACAGTTGGGAGCAGAGCAATTCTCTTTCTGCATGTGATCTGCTCCCCACTCCCCTATCATTCTAGAATGATGCTCTCATTCCTTCCCTTTTTTCCTTCATTTGAGCAGAGTCTGATGAACTAATTTTCCCCTTAGATGCCAATTGCTGATAAAGCTTGAAGTGTTATTCTCTCCCAGATAATGGTATTGTAATAGGGAAGAAGAAAATAGGTCTTTAAGTGTGGAATTTCAGGCATTGGTGAGCAAAAGGAAGATGGGATTTTCACACACACACACACACACACACACACACACACACACACACACAGCATACCACACCACTTACTGGAAAGGGTGCAAATCTATAGCACTTTCTGGTGGAAAGTGCAGTGCTGGCTCTTCTCATGGTAGGAGAAAAGACAGAAGACATTGTCTGGACCTGTCTGTCATTCCCTCCTCTCTGATCCTTACTAAGTGCCGAGTACACACAGGTTCATCCTGAATGCTTCCTTTCCTCACTTGCTAAACTGTAGACTTGTTGAGGCTTAAGTGATACACATGCAGCTCTTCAGCACGTGTGCTGGAGGAAGGAGGGCCACTTCCTCCCGGCAGCCTGAGGCACTCACAGCCCCAGGCTGGCCAGGTCCCTGTCTAGCACACTGTGGCCCTCAGGGCAGATGGCATTCCCACCTTTGCTAAACTGGCCCTTGGTTGAATGCTGGTGTTCCTCTGGCAACTTAGCCCAGCTCCCCAGCGCTGTGGCCCTGCAAGCCCACATTCTTGAGACTGAGAGAAGCCAGGCTGCTGGGATCAAGTGTCAGCTTGCTCACCCTTGACTGTTGGACCGCTCAGTTTGCTCTGCTAAGGCATTCTCCCCAAATTGCTGGGTGAGTAAAAACATTTCATTTCTTCCCTCTCGCATCTGTGCAGCCCTGCCAGAATTTCTTTCTGAATTTCCCTTCATTAACAGTGATGTGCTCTCCACCCGGAAGTTCCCAAGAGCTCACTTCAGTGGATATTGATTGTTTTTGCAGGAGGGACCCCAATGGTTTTTCCGTTTCTGCTTCCATAATATGTACCAAAACCCACACTTCATTGAAAGCAGATGGTGGATGCCTCCCTGGACGTGCAAGGGGAGATGCAGGGCTGGGATGCTTCTGATTTGTCTGCCTTCTGGGCAACGGGGCACGGGTGGGGGCTGGGACTCGCAGTGCTCTGTAGATGAGTGCAGGAAGCAGGGCTGGAACAGAGAGTCTGGATGGCTGGGAGGAAGGAACACAAACAGCGGGCATCAGGGGACCGTTAGGGAGGGTAGAAAAAAAGAGAAGGATGAAAAAAGCCAGTGGAAGAGATGTATCCAGGATTCTCCAGGGCTCTCATTCCTGTGCCTGAGTCTTGTCAGATTCTCAGGGAAGTGTGTGCATCAGGCTGTTGCCCCTGCACAGGAAATTGTTACTAAGCCTCAGCCACAGAGACCTGGGCCTGACCTTATACTCGTCTGCCTCCGTGTAATGTAATGAGGAGCGTATTCTCCACCATATCTTTCCCAAGAACTTTTAAACCCTATTTCTCTGTCTCCAAAAAAGGAAAAGAGAGGGTTGGCTGCTTCTCAGACTGCCCAACAATAAACTTCACTGCCAAAGCCCTCCCAGACTTTCTGTCATTCCCCAAACCTAGCCATGATATTGTGATTTATGATAAAAATATGTATTTGGTCTTTGTCCCATTCCTGGCAGAGACTCCTAAAAACCTTGGAATCTCTTAAGTGAGGAGAGTGATAAGGTATCTTTTGTTATGATAATGAGGTGACTTTGGGAAGGTACCTAAAGATGGGGACTGGTTGCCAGGAGAAACAACCTTGTGATTAGAGAGCTGGAATTTTTAGTTCCACCAGACCTCCCAAAAGGAGCTGGAGGTTGGGTCGATCACCAATAGCCAATGATTCAATCAATCCTGCCCATGTAAAGAAGCCTCCATAAAACCCACCTGGACAGGGGTCAGGGAGCTCTCAGGTTGTTGGAACATGGAGTTTTGGGGAGAGTGTGCATGTGAGGACAGTGTGGAATTTTCGCACCCCTTCCTATATATCTTGCCCTACACACCTCTTCCATCTGGCTGTTCCTATGTTATATCCTTTTAATAAACCAGTGATCTAGGAAGTAAAGATTTCTCTGACTTCTATGAGTTGCTCTAGCAACTTAATTGAACTCAAGGAAGGGGTTGTTAGAACCTCCCCTTTACAACCATTTGGACAGAAGCACAGGTGACAACCTGGACTTGTGACTGATGTTTGAAGTGTGGAAAAGGCTGTTTTGTGGGGTTGAGTCCTTAACCTGTGGAATGTGTTGCTACTTCCAGGTAGGTAGTGTCAGAATTGAGTTGAACTGTAGGAAACCCAGCTGGTATCTGAGAATTGCTCAGTGAGGTGAGGACTCCCCACAACCCCACCTCATACATTTGAATTGGGTGCAGCACCCTTCACCACCCACATTCTCACTCTGGGACCTCTCATTTTTTCCTGATGATCCCTTCCTCCTTTGAAGTCCTCCTTCACTTCTTGCCTGCCATCCTGATTTTATTCTTCATATAATTTGTCTTACGTTCTTCCCTTTCCATGAATACCCCTTGGCCTCAGAGTAGAACACTATGTCTTCCCACAGAAACACTCACTGGGTCTGCCATGTAATACTGGCCTCTTGGGGCACACCGCTGCATGAGGACAGATTACCTGCTTCATCAACTGATTTGTTGGTAACACCTGGTCAGGATGTTACCAAGCACTTAAGGTGCTGCATCTGCGGGTTAAGAGAAGTTGACTTTATTGTCATCAGCCTCCATCCTTTGGTGTCTGTGAAGGCTCTCCAAAGGGGTGGGAAAGTATAAATTCACACCTATAGCTTCTGCAGGCCAGGAGAGGCTAGTCCACCTTGAACTTGAAATTTGAAACATGTGGCAGAAGGGATAGGTCTAGTGCTAACTGTTGTTGTTGTTGTTGTTGTTGTTGTTGTTGTGTGTGTGGTTGTTCTCTGACCCAGAGCAGCTTTGTTTGTAGGCCCTAAAAAATTGTGACTTTTCTCTTCTAAAAGGATAATAGGGATAGAATCTACCACTAAGCATTTACTTTATGTTAGACCACACATGGGCACACACTTGGCAATATATAATTGCATAGCACATTATGAGATGGGTGTAGGAATACCCTCATTTTTCTGGTGACCAAAGGATTAGAGAAGTCATAAAGTTGTCTGAGTCTACACCACTGGTAAGTGGTAGAACCAGGACTGACCCAGGCTGCAGGCTTGAAGGCCAGTGCTCTGAGAGCCACGCCAGGTGTCCTGCTGGTGAAGCCTCAGAGACCGGATGGGAGCCATGAGTGTACTCACTGTGCTTCCTGCCTCTCCTAGACTCTTAGAGACTTCCATTGCTGGGTTGGGTGGGCCAGCAGGACGTTTAACCACGCCCATACTCTGGATGCGTAGTGCAAGTCAGTCTGACTCATACACTCCACTTTTGGGTTTGTCTGTCTAGGAAATCCTGTTCTCATGGTTTGCTAGGCACAGGCTCACTGGTGTGCTGCCCAGCTAGAGCCTAGTCCAGGAACTCAAGGCCTTCTTGGGAAATCACTGCTCCTTCCCTGATAAGAAAGCCATGTCTCGGACAGAGGCCCGGTCCAAGGGCTAAAAGGCCGGGACTGTGGTTAGGTCATGGACTTTCTTTGGCTGGTATCCTTGGGCACGTTTCTTACTTCTCTGGGCCTCAATTTCTCCTATAAAATGGAGGGGCTTGAATGATGCAATTGGTTAATTCCTCACAACTCTAAACATTTAATGATTTAATTACAAAACTCCAGGACATTTTCATTCCCCCTTTTTTTTTCTGTTCAAGTGAATCAAGCTCGACACAACTGAGTAACAGTACCCCCTGAGATCTGGAATATGCAATGATAGACAATACAAGGTCAGACTTGTTGGAATAAATCATCTCTGTTAGTTTTTTGGTATTATAATTAATTTACAATGATAGAGGTACTGTATTCCAGATGATTTTGGTAACAGTTTTTATTTATAAAGATGAAGTACAGTTGTCCTCTCCCTTATGTGTGGGAAATATGTGCCAAGACACCAGTGGATGCCTAAAATTGCAGATAGTACCAAACCCTATATATGTTATGTTTTTTCCTATACATACACACCTATGATAAAGTTTAATTTATAAATTAAGCATAGTAAGAGATTAACAACAATAACTTATCTACTTATATAAAAACCCTGGGTGTAACATCACGACCAGAGGCACAACCAACTGGAAGGAAGTCAGTCCTGCAGGGGTTGTCTTGGAAACGGCTGCACTCTCCCCCAGCTGTTTCCCAGAGTGTAAGGTTTCAGGCAGGAACCCGCCCTCGGAGAAGAGTGTGGAAGTACTGAGTCCTGGGTTGCCTTGCCAAGGGCTGTGCCCTCCCTGAGCTGTTTCCCCCCCGAGGCCTGAGGGAAGAACCCACCCTCAGAGCGCCAGGAGCGCCCAGCAGCAGTCAGTCCTGGCTTGCTGAGGCGGAGGCCACAGCGTGGTAGAACTCTGGGTCTGGCCCAACAAGGGGGCATGGCCGGCCTTCAAACCAGACCCTGACAGTAGGGAGGAGGGAGCCCCATTCCTCACAGAATCCACTGTTGGATAACTTGCTGTCAGTGACCTGCCAGCCAGGAATCCCATTCACCTGAACCCCAGACCCTGACAGGAGGGAGGAGGGAGTCCCATTCCTCACGGAATCAACAGGTGGCCAGCTTGCTGTCAGGGGCCTGCCAGCTAGGAATCCAATTCACCTTCATATCTGTATAAAGTTTTAATACATTATATTAGACGTCATGGTGGTACTGTTTTACCCACAGCATCTACAGGAATTGCTGCAAATTTACTTCTCGGTGGAAGCACCTTTCATTCCCAATATAAATTACCAATTCCATTAAATGAAACTTCCATGTCTAGACTTGATATAAACAGTGA